CTCGCAAAATGCCAGAGAAGCCGCCCAGTCCGCTCGACAAGGACCAGATTCAAGGCCTGGTAAGCTACATGTGTCCTTGGACCCTTCCCTCGACCATCTCGCGCATCGCCGATTTATGTGCTTGAGCCCGCGTGCGCCCCTAGATGCGAGCGCATGCGGGGTTATGCTTCTGCCTCGAGACCGTTGCGAATGGGCATATTTGTACCGCAACAAACCGTCGCTAACTTTGCTCGTCTTTGTAGAGGGCAATTCGCGATTTCCTCAAGGTCCGAACCAGCTACGATGTCCTACCGCTCTCCTTCCGCCTCATTGTCCTCGACAACGACCTCTTGATCAAGAAGAGTCTCAATATCCTCATTCAAAATGGTACGAGTCATGCTACTCTGTCATAACGGAATGTTTGTTCTGACTGTCGTCCTAGCCATCGTGTCCGCGCCGCTATGGGATTCACACAATTCCAGATTTGCCGGCCTTTTGACGGCGACAGATTTCATCAATGTGATTCAGTACTATTGCCAGTTCCCTGACGAGATGCATAAGCTGGAACAGTTCCGACTCAGCAGCTTGCGAGGTCAGTGACGCTCCCATCGCCGTCCAGGCTTTCGGTTGCATACTAAGGCGCTTGTCAGATATTGAAAAGGCCATCGGGGCCTCTCCTCTAGAGACCGTATCCGTCAACCCCATGAGACCACTCTACGAGGCCTGCCGCCGCATGCTCAAGACTCGTGCGCGCCGAATCCCCCTCGTTGACGTTGATGACGAGACTGGGCGCGAGATGGTTGTTAGCGTCATTACACAGTACAGAATTCTTAAATTCATCGCCGTCAATAACGAACACAACACTGTTCTACTCAAGAAGTCCCTCAGGGAGATCGGGTTGGGTACATACAAGGACCTTGCTACAGCGCAGATGCACGATTCTGTCCTTAGTGTGGTCGATATGATGGTCAAGCAAAACATATCCTGCGTCCCGATTGTCGACAAGTACAACCGCCTACTGAACGTCTTCGAAGCCGTCGACATTATTCCGTGCATCAAGGGGGGCGTTTACGAAGAATTGCAGTCAAGCATCGGAGAGGCACTCGTCAAGCGTCCCGACGATTCGCCTGGCATTTACACTTGCAGTCCCGAGGACAGATTAGACTCGATCTTTGACACAGTCCGGAAGTCAAGAGTTCACCGTCTCATAGTAGTGGACGACGATAACAGACTGGCAGGTGTCATCTCCTTGTCCGATATTCTCAAATATGTGCTTTTGCACGGCGAAGAGGACGACGTCGTGGGGCATTAAGTGGGAATAAAAACGGAATTGCATAGAACCAAGAGCGACGGATCCTCGCTGGAATGACTTGGGAACTGGTAGACATGGTAATGAGCATGTGCTAGGCGTACAGAGGCGTAACTGGGAGGAATACCAGACGGTGCCCGAATTTCTTCATTTTACTTTCATTATAGACGATCGGGAGGCTCACGGAGAAGTTGGCCACCTGAATGCATTACGAAATGAGAACATGTCCCAAGTCATTACTATCTATTGCGAGGTGCCCCCGTGCCTCTCGGCATGTTGCAAGATGCAAAGCAGTTGCCTTGCAAGGAGCTTTTTCGGAATACGCCTGACGAGACTGGATCGGCATCGGGGAGGCCTGCAGGAGCAGTACTCGTACACCGAAGTACCTATGGCAAGTAGTATTCATTCACAATCCGAACATCGCATGAGGTATCCCACCAACAGCTCGCTCGGCCATGCTGGGCAGGTACGATACTTCTCATACGAGCCTAAATAGGTAGGCAGGTAGGTAGACCCAAGCACCGTTGACTTCTTGACCCTCTCCATCGTCCCCATGTCAACAATCTTCGACATCTGACATTGGATATTCTCCGCTTCAGTACCAGACAGTACCAGCGGGCTCCAGCGTTCGATCTCGCCCACTTTTGGCCAAAGAATCGATTTCTTTTTTTTTGCTATGCAGCCTTACGACAATGATCAATCACTATCATCGGGCCTGTCTCGGGACATCGAGACTGGCACCATCGAAAGCCGGACCGTTAGCACTGCGCCAACCAGTACTGTGCCTCTTCAACTACCCATCACGACCTCTGTGCTGCCATCAAGGGCCGATCCTCAACCGCTAGCCACATCAGGTACTCTTCCTGCTTTGGTCACTGGAGATGGTCGACGGAGCAGGGCTCTTCCAAGCAGCGCGACATGGACTTCTTCTGTCGGGGACTTGGCCCTGTTGTCAGACACAGACGAGTTTCAGGACCGTCGAATATTTGTACAGGACTACAATCGGTTGGCCAAGAAAGTATAGCAGCATTCGACCCTTTGGAAGCATTCGGCATTTCACTAACGTATGATGACAGCAAGGAATTCGAGTATTGTCGGTGGATGGCTTCGAGGGAGGAGTAAGCTTCAACATTCTCATGGCATGGGACATCACTAACAAGTCTAGCGACATGCACTGCCAGCCATTATGACTGAGAAACGGAGGTGGTGGTCTCGAGTACTCCGTTCAACATCATCAGGGCAACCGCCTACCTCGCGAGGAGCACTTCACGGAGTCCGTCACAAGCGAAGCGTCAGCGACATTGCCCTACAATTGGTACACTCTCGCAAACCTGAACCCAAGATACTCGATCTACAGGCCATGGTTCGACTGAGTGGGAAGAGCCTTTTGCATCTCCCTGCCGACTATGCTATTGGCTCACTTGTTGTGCCGACTTGCTTCAGGGCAACTGCCCAATACTTGGCTCAATATGGTATGTGAATAACATCACCGGACATGTGAAAGCTTCTTCTGATATCTTCATCTGTAGGACCTGTTACACGTGGTGTATTCCGCATTCCCGGTTCGCTGCGCGTTGTCAATGCAATATTCGACTACTACTGCTACGAAAAGCCGGGAGAAGAAGTCACAAGTACCATACGTTGCCCTACTTTGCCATCACATATCAATGCCGGTGCACAAGATGTAGCTTCAGCTTTCAAAAAACTGCTATCTGTACTCCCGGGTGGCATCCTTGGCTCTCTCACCCTTTTTGACGCATTGGTCGCGATTCACACCCAGCTTCGTGGGGAGCAAGAACTCAGCAGAACAAAAGAATCCAAGCTTCGTGCTAGACTCATTGCCATGGCTATTGGGACCATCAATTCTCACTTTCGTCGGGAGCTTATTTGCGCTGTATTTGGTCTTCTTTCCCTTATTGGACGTGCTGCTGAGACAGCAGCTCGTGAAGATGAGCAGGGCCGGCCACTTCCAACGTCAGATTTGATGGGATACGCAGCTTTGGGGATCGTATTCGGTCCTCTCCTGGTCGGCAATTTGCTCGACTCCTATACAATGAAGCTCGCAAATCCTTCTTCGGGCTTGCTGCTTTTCCCCCTTACCCCGCCGCGTTTGAAAAGGGAACGACAGCGAAAGAGCACTATCCAAGACAATACAGATTCCATGTCTGTTGACAAAATTCGCGTGGCAAACGACATCGCCGAGATGCTCATCTCAAATTGGAGAGAGGTGGTGCGCAATATGAAAGGCTTGTCGAGTTTCCGGGGGCCAAATGAAGATCTAGAAAGCACGAGTCGTCGGAAATTCCTTCGTTCATCAAACTCTGACTCTCTGGCCGTCGGATTGCCTAGAGGCTGGAGGAGCAAGCACTCTTCGCCACGATCTTCCATCAACCAACATAGGTCGAAATCACCCGTTACTCCAACACCGGCGCCTAGTAAGTAGAGAGACATTCGAAGTCTCAGGATTGTGGTAGCTGACACACCTGCAGAGGCTTTGGGTCTGACATTGTCGAAGACTACAGGGAATCTAGATGATTCGCTTCATGTTGGAAGATTACGGCCGAGCTCTTTCCAGGTGCAATCGACTAACAGAATACCTTTGCGCCAGTCCCTCAATCCACTCTCTCCCACGGCGGAAGAAAGTCTAGCAGATGATCGAGACCTCAAGGAGAGGAAAGTAGGATCGGACACAAAAGCTGTTTCACCACATACGCGAAAGCTAGGAAGAGATCGATCAAATGACTCTGAGAGCAGCGTAAGGCCACGCGCCATCAAATCCCATGCAGCTGCTGCAGAGTGTCTGGCTGGTTACGTGGGTGAATGTTCAAAGAATCAGAGCTCGCTTGACGCAGCCCAGAAATTGGCGGAACATCGCAGGCAGCGTTCAATAGGGAGTCCCCGTGTATCGGAAGAAGTCCCACTCGAAAGAGACTCGGCGAAGACATCTCCAAATCGACTGCCATACGCAATTTCCGAGAAGGGTATCTGGCCTGTACAAAGAGATGTACCCAATCCAGGGAACGAATTCGTAAGGCAGTCGGGGGGCTGTAGGCCAAAGACAAGCGGGATGGTCTCTTCGGCACTTCGTCGATTCGTTGGAAGTGATTCCAGCCGAATCTCAAGTTCCGGAAGCCCAACAGCTAGAACCTCGAAGACAAGGCATGCATCGCCGGATGCTGTAAGCCCATGTACGCCCACTCCGCCTAAAACAGACTTCATCACAACAACGACGCCAGAGTCCGTGTCATATTTGAAGTCTAAGGGCCGTGATATGGGCAGAGGCGCAAATCGTATCGAGGAAAACCTTGACAAGTCGATCTCGGCCAAGGCGAACTTCAGAGAAAACAGCTTCGACGGCAACCGGCTAGGTAGGAAGAAACCAGATGGAGATGTCCCGAGATCGAACTTGCCTTCTCAAACTCCGCGTCAGAGCACAGAATCAAACGCTAGATGTGAAAGCATTGGCTCCATTCAGGTCACTCCAAAGGAGTTTACGACCAAAAGTGCGTCACAGATTCAGCCTCGACTCCCCGTTGCGGTCTCGCCAGAGGCGTTCTAGGAAAAACTGCCTTCGGCCGATCTAATCGACGATAATCTCCCTTCCTCGATCAATACTAGAGATCTAAAGGACAATGCAAATAAGCTTGTTCCTCGGCGAGCCGATGTAAATGGTGGCATCCCTCAGGGTCAGTCAAAGTCTCAACGAACGCCAATGTCGCCTCAGTCGACTCTCTCAAGGCCGCAGAGTGTAGCATCCATGGCGGGGGAAATCGCGCAACGCTCTCGAGCATCAAGTTTGAGACCTGTCATAACGCCAGCTCGTCCGTCTGGCGGGAGCTACGGTAGCTCGACACCATCGCATGGATCTATTTCAAAACCAGTGGGAGTGCGAGCCATGGCGGCCATGTTTGAAAATGCGTCCCAGGAGTCGCCTTATGTGTCTTTCCTTACAACACCTCGCCCCTCCCGGACGAGTGTAACGGATTTGGGTCTGTTCCAATTAAGGCAAGAAACTGAGTCCTTTGAAACACCGAAAACGAAAGCATTGGTCGTAGCTCCGAAAGAGAGGGACCCGGATCCAGGCTATGAGCTCTCGGATGAAAGGAATCGACAGACAGGTCATATACTGAGGTCTGTCACTGACAGCACCGGGTCATTGACTGTTCCTGAGACAACCGAAGCTGACGGAGGTGCCGTCCATCTTGATAGGCCATCTCTGACACGACTTCGGCAAACACCAGATTCTTCGGGGTACAGGAAGTCTCCTTTGAAGGTGTATACTCTGGAGAATGACAAGAACTTACCTCATCTTGGGGCCATGACAAGTCCCGCTCAGCAGTCGCCTATTGCACAGCATGTCGTATTTCCCCATCCCTCGTCCACTCTATCAGTGCGTCAACTAAGCGAGGATACCATCCCGGCACGAGCAGGAAGCCCGGGCAACAATTCCATGCTTCATGCACAGATTCGAAGTCTTCAGAGGCAGCTGGATGTCAGGAATGATGAAAACGCGTCTCTTCGGCGTCAACTTGAGACAAGAGATAACTTGGACATTGGAACACTCAGTGAACAGCTTCGAGTATCCAAAAGAGAGTGTGCCATGTGGAAATCTCGTGCCGAAGCCGCAGAAAAACGAGTCTCGGTCCTTGAACACTTCACGCGGAAGCTGAAGGGTATCAAAGGAGGGGATGCGCAAAATGACACTGATGTTACGTCGCGAAGCGGAAGAGACAGCATCGAAACGTTGGCAACAGAGGATGGAGAAGTTGTGGCGGAGAGAATCAGGAGGGCTATGAGAGGGATGGATGGAACGAGGAGCAGTGATGGCGGGGCTGCAGCTTGGTGGAACGATGACCGGCGAGGTAGCAACACCAGGCACTCGGGAAGCGTGGGTGAGCAACATCAGCCGAAAATGACAGAAGAAGCATTGCTTCAGATTTGGCAGGCAGTACAGGAGCTGCTATTGGAGGATGAAGACTGAATATTGGCACGGGAGGCCCATGAGCCGGCTGTGTCAGGATATGGGCGCTGGGAAGCCAGAAGCATGCATCGGGGCTTGATTATAGACATTGGGGTTGTCTGGGTATCAATATGGTTCTACATGTCCTACGCTGACGAGCCGACACGCAGTCGTAATAAAGTTGTTATCATGAAGTCGTGGAATTTGTGTTCTGCAAATAGGGCTACCTGCTAGACCCGTCCCTGACTGCGCATTACCCTCAACGCCCGAGAGTAGCATGATGGGATACTAATCACTATCCTCCCCCGGGTCACGGCGAATCCTCCACCGCCCTGCATCATCCATGCGCATAGCGACGGTGCCGACCGCCATACGTCCGATACCGTCCAAAATAGCGCCCAAGAGCTCCGAGTCGTCGTCGAGGACAACTTCCTTGACCTCCACTTCCGGCTCCCCTGGTTTCGACCTCTGCCGACCAAGTTTGCCCTCCTCAACCTCTCGCCCCTTCCTGGCTTTGACGATCCTACTGGAGATCTCAGAGGAAGCCTTGATCTGCGGATGCTTTGAGGTGGAGGTAAGTTCGGGCGTTGACGAGGCGAAGCTTGGCCACGTGGGTATGTCTGGTGATGGCGGTGTTGGAGGTCGGACTGGTGTGCGAGAAGGGCGGTAGGGGATACTTGTCCTCCTGTCGTGGTTCACGGTTGAAGATTGTCGGTAGTCTCGATCATGTTGGCGGGGTTGCTGAGATGCCTGAATGGTAGAGGCATGACGATTCTGGGTCTGGGGTGATGGGGGGTGAGTTAAAGGGATAGGGGTAGTTGATCGGTACCGCGTTAGGTTGGGGGAAGGTGGGGTTGGCGTGGGCGGGATATATCGGGGCGGTCGACGTTGAGTGGGAGGTGGTGTTTGCTGCTGCTGCTGCTGTCTCTCATAATCATGCTGGGGAGGGTGGTGTTGCTGTCTGCGCAGCTGAGTGGAGTTCGCCGTGGTTGTGGTGGTCGTCGCCGGCCGGGTCACGGGAGCTCGGGGCGTAATGCGCGCGGGTTGACTGGGTGCGGGAATGTTGAACTGGTTGCGCCCGTATACACGCCCGGACGGCTGGTGCCGTCAATTGTCAAAGACGAAGAGGGGCTTGTAGTGATGCGTTGCCTCTACTACGGCCGCAGCGAGCTGGTAGTCTAGAGAGGTTTGTCAGCGGTGTGCTTTGGGGGGGGGGGGGGGGTTCATGATGAAAGGTGCTGCAAGGGGGCTTGCTAGAGATGTTGAGAGTATGAAGCACGTTCTTGGACATGAGATGGGGATGGATCTTTGAGCAGAACAGCCCCATGATGTGCCAAGGATACAAGTTGCTAGGCTCGAACGACGTCTTTATTCCTCATCACAGAATGCCGTTTGAACGTGACGGGACACATGATCTCTAGACAAATGGAACTAGTCGTACTCACCAACACCGGGTCCCAGATCGCGGGAGGTAAGGACTTTGATGGACAGATCAGGATTGACCTTGCCGATGATCTGAGCACCGTTACCATTGGTGAGGTGCACATCCTGTCAAGGGTTAGCGTCCATCTATCGATATATTAAAGTCGGTCGAAGCAAAGCCGTGTTGCCTTAACAGAGATCTTGGGCTAAAGACCTACGCGATTGAGAATTGCAGTGACGTTTCCGTCCGCGTCAAGAACGGCAGAATCACCACGCAGCTGCAAGACCTTGCCAATGAGCATGACGTTGCGACCGACGTTGTTGTCGAGGTACTGCGCCGTGATGCGCGGGGTCGAGGTCGCTTCGGCCATGGCTTGACTGTCGGTGTTCTTGGTTCAACAGGCTGCTGGTTGTGCGAGGATCTGCGATGGGTGCTACAGACCCAAAGTGTGTGGTTGTGACAGAAAGGCAGTGATTACACTGATTGAATCCAGTTCGTCTTATGCGGGACGGTTGGTCGAGATCTTTGGGATGGAATAGGCCTTGATCGAGGGGCAGACGCGCCGCGACAAGACACCCTCGCCCGGCACTTGTCGCGGTGTCAGGTGACCTGTCAGGTGGTCTGTGATGACACCTTACCCTATCCGGCCCATGGAGATCTGCGCTGGTCCCTGAACCGTTCTTAGAGATCGTCAAAAACGTTATATTAACGGTATCCTATCCTCGCAACCGTCAATCATTATCTACCCATCACAGGGGAGATGACAGAATCGTTCCCTTGGCGAACCATGACGTGGCCTCGGGACAATTGACTTTTGACCGCCTGAAATTTTGTGGTGTTTATGCCCACCCGGACATTTCACTGTTGGTTTGAAAGACTGTGTCGAGTCCACCCACCAGACCGAAGCATGGTGAGCGAGTCACCAAAGTGGTGCCCTGTGGATCTCATCCTACCACACAAGACTTTTCTCAGGATGGTTTCCTTGCATCCCTATGATGTCATCTGAGTCCCATTGCTTGTTTCTTTTCCCTGAAAGAGTTTGCAGGGCTCCGGCCGATCATTAAGCATCTCGTGATGGAAAAGCGCACCGTGTTGATGGCTGACAGTGGACAAATCTCCCTGGTAGTTCCTACAGTGCCTCGCTGCAACTGACCTTACCTCTAGCACAAGACGACATTATTTGACGGCTTCGTCTTACATCACATCGTTCTTCGAAGGAGGTCGACTTTAGAACGTTGGTCTTGATGTGATCGATCTCGTTTTACGCCTGGTCCATCGTTGCTCGGCATGTTTCAATGTCGCCCTCTGACGACATTGCTCGTTTATATTGACTTTCAGGACGCATGAAGGGTCCTCCGGTGCAACCACCCAATCAAAGCACCTTTTTACGCAAAAAACCAACGGCTTTCTGTCGCTCAGCGTGTTATTTCTAAGCCCCTAACACCTGTCGAGGTTCATCGCGGGTTGAGACGTCAATCTCTTTCCATTTTGGGGGCTACCGGTCTCGGCGGTGCATGGCAGGCTGGGAGAAACCTGGAATTCTGACAGCGGCAGGCAATCAATCGAAACGCGACGACTCGCCTAGGACCGAAGCAAGACGGGACATGAGTCGGCGATGGGGACGCCGTAATCACTCCACTCTGGCATTGGCGGTGGGTGGACAGAGTAGCAAACTTTCCGTGTTGTTTACCATTCTGTGACCCAATATTAGCACATGATGCATTTGTCAAGACGATGTGGCATCGAGTTGAGCTGCGTTGACAACATCACCTGTCGTTCCTCGGATCATGCACCTGGCAGACAGCGGCTGATAGAAAAAAGGTTGACTTGGGCGGGTGGCAATGGCAACAAGACGAATTCAGGGTCCTTTGGCGGCAAGACATAGCTGCAGGGAGTGGCCAGTGAGGCCAAGGCCCCTGACCGGGGTTGGGCAGACATCTCGGTTGAAAACAGGGCATTCTGTGAAGTTTGACCTACTGTATAGTATATCCGTTCGGGGACGCGAGCCGCTGGTTTCTTTACGCGCGCAACATCCCAATGACCTCAATGATTTGTCCAAAGTTCGTTGGTCTGTAAGAAGGCGGTTTTGGGGGGTTCCTTAGCCGCTCTCCTTTCCATTATAGGCGGATGCTAGGGTATTCTAAAGATATTGTATTTCTGGTCAAAGCCTCAAAGGGGGTAGTCTCCGCCAGCAGCAGGAGATAGGCGGACATGGCGGGAATAGCGAGTGACATCAGGCTTGGAGTTGCCGTTTTTTCTCGGGCCGTGACAGTGCTGTCGTGGATCGCAGCACGGCTACCCGGACTAGGTTGTCAGGGTGCTCACTAGGATCCATTGCGACATGAATCGCTGGCGTAGAATCGGCGATCTTGCATCGTGATATCTGGCGCAGACAGCCCAAAACATAGATTGATATACTTGTAGATCTGAGAGACATCGTGAGCTTGGGACAATCTGTTCAACTTGGACGTGACTTTTTGGTCCCGACGCATCTCTTACTCACCACGCTCACGTAGTGTGTAATGTGTGCAGATGCGGCCTGCCGGGTATGCCGGTCGCTCCATGGAGGAATGAAGGTTACCCAAGATGAGACCACGCCGGGACAAGTCGAGACGGGATGAAGACAAGATCAAAGACGATAGCAGAGGCAAAAACATTGGTGTTCGATGGTTTCCAGGGAGGGAAAGCACCGCGAGTGCTAAGCTGTCTCCCTCCCTCATTATTCTCGTTGTCAAGATGCAGGTTGATGTGGGTGGACGAGAAGGGTAGTTGGGTTTCCGCGGTCCACAGTGTCCCTACGGTGTGAGTGGTAAGGTATGAAGGAGCATGCACTGATGCAGTGCGGTGTCCAAGGTGGGCGAAGTTGAGAGCTGTTTTCTGTTCACGGTGGTTTGGCGTGACCGTTTTGGGCGACACTGAAGTTACTGAACAGTGAGCACTCTGGATGAGGTGGGCTGCCCCTCACTTTCTCCACTCAAGGTACCAAGCGTTCCCGAGCTTTCCCCCTGCACCTACCAGCCATGGGCCATGGCACGCCGCACGTCGCACGCCGCACGCCACCCTCAACAGCAAGTGCAAGTGCCAGGAAGGATTGAAGCAAGCAGGGCCCTGGGCAGGCAGGAAGCTGGCAACGGCGGGGCCGCGACGATTTAGGTGGCATGGATGGTGGAAGGAAAGCTCAACCCGGCGCCCGGACCTTCCACCAAGAGCACTTTCCCGGACAGCATCAATGTCACATCCCATCTGTCTTGATGGTCGTGGTGGTGGTCGCTGGTCCTGCACTGCTGCTGCTGTTCCCAGACTTTCACACCCACTCCTCGCTGTTCCAAGTCGCTCTCTGGTCTGTGCCCTCACCCGCACCGGCCATGGTCCCTGGTGGGCACTTGGGCTGGATTCCATGGCTTTTTTGGGAGTATCCTTTATGGTAAAGTTGGGCAAAGTGTCGTCTGGAATGCGTCGCTGAATGTGCCTCTTCTGAGGTTGCTAACTGCAACTAGCTCGAACTTAGGCACTGACACACCGTTCGATGCGTCCCCTCATCCCCGGTCGTCCGTGTATTTCCCTGGCAAGCAATGGCTCAAGGGGTTATGAAGGCAGTTCGGCGCCGTGGGCCCATTTCGGTCGCCGGTGTGTCGTACAGAAAGGGAAGAAGAAAGAAGCGTAAGGAAGAATATGGATCTTGAGGACTGTAATGCAATGACAAACGGCAACCGGCGACGGTATTGAAGCGTAGGTGCCTACCATTATCTTTATTATTCTCCGGAGTTTTTCATCCGAAAGAACAGGGACTTGGTCGCAGCTTTCCAACTTCTGCCAACAATTAGCCCCCAAGGCAACGGCCCCATGGCGAACCCAGGAAGGACAAGGTGAGGTGGGAGGGGGGAAGGGCCGGCAGGGTAGGTACCTAGTGTTTTTGATGAATGTGCGGCGTGCCTGCCTTCTCGTCAGTCTCTGGCATCCAATGGGTGCCAACCTTACCTGACCTTGCACAGCAGAGGGGTCGGATCGGGTGGGTGTGTGTCTGTGTCTGAAGACGAAGTGTTGGATGAAGCTTAGACGGGGACTCGGGAGGTCTGGTTGCTTTAGCTTGTCCAGCAGTAATTATCTGCGATAATTATTAACATCCAGCTCTGCTACACTGCACAGCTATGGCACTGTCTGAGAGGCAAAAAGTGCTTAGCGTAGAAGCTATACTGTCTAGGTACCTTACTTACCCCGCCATTTTGTGTCGCGCAGCCAAGGTAAGCTGAGGTGAATTCATGTAGTGTATGGTGCATCGTACGTACCCAAAGCAAGGGAGGTTAACGAGTGAAGTTGCCCAGCTACAGATTCGAATGGTCGCAATGGTGGTGCTGGAAGTCTGGAACCGGTGCTGATGTTGGCGCTGCATGTGTACATCTACCATCGACTGGGTGTCTGCCCGTGTCTGACAGATAAGGTGCCTGTGTGTTAGCTTTTTGGTATGACCTGATCCAATGTGATTGCTTCTGCCGAGGGAGCAACACTTCAGTCTAGCTAAGCTGAGGTAGATGCACCATCTCGCCTAACTGCTTTTCTCAGTTCTGAATGTTCTACGGATACCTACCTGCCTTACCCTCTTCGAGCTAACTGGAAGCAAGGTAGCGTGAGGTAATTGGAGCCTGAGCTAAAGGCAATTGTTAGGGAAAATGCTGTTGAGGAAAGTAGAAACGTGGTGTTCGAGGCAATGCAATTGTCGAAGCTCCCGTCTTTCCCGACTGCCCATCTCATGTATGGTATGCGGTACTCCGTACCTCATGCCATTGAAATTCCCACCCCCCATTTCCGTTCATCGCCTTCTACCGACGACGACTTCCCATCCCCGTTTCTCATCCCCCTCTTCCCAACCTGCACACTGTCTGTTCCTGAGAAAAGCTCCTACCTGCCCACACCGAGCCTCTTTGATCCCACATCCATTGTCAATTCCGCTCCATCTGGATTCCACCGCTGCTCCTCTCTGTCACAGCTTGCTAGCTCTGAGCATCATTCTGATCGATTGCCGGAGCCTACTCCGCTGCTATTCGCCTCGGCCAATTTGGCCTCGATCCTCAACACGGCTCCGAGCATCACCATCCCTCTCTTCTCTCCAACAACCTGGGAGATCCGTCCGGCTCTGCTTCCGTCGTCTTGTGCTTGGCAACCTCCGACCCATCCCTGCCCTCCCGCCGACATCTTCCTTGTGTGACCGCGACTGCGACGGCCCCATCAAACTGCAAGCATTACCAGCCCAGTGCCCACACCACCACCACCTGAGCATCCTTGTCTGGCTGACGACAAGACGTTGCCGCGCTCTCACCACGCTGCAACCGGCACAACGACAATAGGCTGACTGTCATGACATTGGCCTTCATCGCCGACATCGACAAAGCAATACTCGAAGCTCAGCTTTACGACTGATCGATATTCTGTCTAGCTGGGTGCATCATTTTCCGCTTCTTCCTCGAACTACGAGAGCTTCCGTTCGCTCCGGCTCGTTAGCAGTCTTTCGGCTCGTTGGAACGGCGCTCCGCTGATCTCTGCCTACCGTTTCCCGTCAACAAACGCCCGGTCGCCGGCCTGCTTCGACCGTATTGCTCTCATATTGTCCGGATCGGCAGCTCTCAAGATCGTCGACAGTGACTTTTCTCACTGACGCGCGATCAGCTGCCCCAATCATCCGTGGTACGCAGATTTCAAACCTTCATTGAGAACCCCGCAGTACCTTCAGACTCCCGTCCTCAGCGATATATCGCAACATCCCTTTCACCAGCCCCTCGCGTCCTTACCGTTTGCGCCTACCTTACCCTTCTATGTAACGTACGTCTCCTCGCCCTGTCGCTCCATCCCAGAACCCTTTTCGGGCCAGCGTGTGGTATTGCCTTTCTGCGTGTGGGAGAGTGCGAATACGGTGCCCCGTTTGCAAGCGACCCCTCCGTTTCTACACAATATCAAGGTATTCTCAATTACTCTTGATGATGCCTGTCTCCCGGCTCCACCGTGTCACCCACTTCCATCCGCATCATTGACCTGTCGCAATCCTAATCCATCGTTCCCTCATACTACCTCTTCTTAATTTTGTGTACTCCTTCTTTGATATTGCCAAACGCAGACACTGACCATTGGGCATTGTAGCGTGCCCTCCTACGTTTTCGATCTCGACGAGGATCAGCTTCGCTTTTTGAATAAAGCAGCACCTTCTCGTACCCGAAGCCACCACACGTCCTCGTTGACACCGCGCCCCCCAGCCAATTTCGGGTCTTGTCCATCGCCAAGTACACGCAGGCGTCGAGATCAGTCCGCGTTTTTGGCGAAACTCTTCATCGTGTGTTTTCTCGCTTTTCCACCTTCTTGCCCGCGATCTTCGCTTTTGCCTTGTTTTACCCTCTCGTACTGCCCGGCGTCGTTATCGGTCCCTTGCGTACTGTCTCTCGATCCAGTCAGCAAGCCCAGAGCCAGTGCCACACGCAAACCACTTGGTAGTCTTTACGCATTGGGTAGGTCAGCAGCGCACGATAAAACGTTTATTGTCCTACTTTGGACCAGATAACGCTTCCTCACCACTGGAACACCGTTTTTCAGCAAAATTTGAGCTCGACACCTTCGCCAGACCTGGCGAGGTCCTTAACCTGGACGATGAATACCCCTCCGAGCTTCTTCAATGATGCGGTTGATATTGCAACACCGACTAACAATGACTTCCCCAGCGATCAACCACGAACACTACCTCTAGATTCGCTCGATTTAGTCCGACCGGAAGACAGTGACACATCGGAGAACATGGCACACCACCCTTCCGTATATATGGCTGTTCCGGGTGCCTGGGATCCACTGGTGACTGGCATGCCCTCATTCTACGGCCATCATGGCCAAGCACAGTACAACACGAAGCAAGAAGACGTCGAAGATAGGCCGACAATACTCAACATACCTCCGGCTTCAACATTTCAATCGGGTGCGAGGGTCGACGCCAATATCTCGACGCAGCCTCGACCGCCAAAACCGAGTCGAGCAGCGGACCCTTATGATGCCAGCCCACCCAGGAAGAAGGGAAGGAAAGGCAAAGCTCCGGTGCAGAACGACCAAGACCCGAAAAGAGACAAGTTCCTCGAACGGAACCGCGTCGCTGCGAGCAAATGTCGCCAAAAGAAGAAGGAGTGGGTCTCAGACCTTCAGGAAACCAAACAGGGACTGGAGAACCAGCATGCACAGTTGCAGATGGAATACAATGGACTGGTTGATGAAGTTACGAGAATGAAAAACGAGCTCATGTCGCACGCAAATTGCAACGATCCGAACATCAACCTATGGCTCGACAACGAAGCCCGGCGATTCGTTCAGGTGAGCGCAGAGCGTGTAAAAAAGCAAAGTCTTGATGCCAGCCGCATGGCTGGCAACAGGCCACTCGGCACTGGGGGAGGTTATAGACCGTCAATTGACAGTAAGAAAAACCCCTTATCCCACGACACAGCATTGGAGGTATTGATTGATGCCAGGTCAAATGTCTCTGATATCGCCTGCCCGCTCAGAGCGTGCTATGACGAGCCTGTCATCGAGATCTGGAAGTGATGCCGATATCAACTACGACCATATGCCCGACAGTGCTTTCGACCACACATAGAGCGCTGTGGCTGGCGACGATGTGGAATGGATAGCAAGGCGCTAAAACTTGAGAAGCTGAGCCTTTCTGGGCACAGCATGAATAAGAAGCTCTCACTATCTTGAGTGGGGCTTCCAAGAATAGGAGTTCGGATGGATTCGAGAACATAGCAATGCTATGATCAATGACTTGGGAGGATAATTACAACAAGGGACCAGACGGAGGAGTTGAGCCGCCAGCTACCGGACCAGAGCTGGGGAAACGACCTGATACCCTGGGGGAAAGTTGGGCTGTACATCTTTTGAGGTGAAGAATCCCACAAACCAAACTAGCAATAGGGGATTCGGATAGACACAAGATAACGATATGAACAAAGAAAATTCGGCGCAAAGCCACTGGGCAAATGCTATGATCTTACGCGAGAGGTGTAAGGCCCTGTTCAGACAGGATGTTTGATGGGGCAAGATGCTGACCCCTGGAGCCCCTTGGGACACCGTTCTCCCAAGTGGTAGTACGACGTGGATAGGTACATGGAGACGATATCCAAACGGCCGGAACATTGGTTCGAGCCCTACGGCAGAGCCAGCCGACCATCTGTAGCTTACCCGTGAGAAGCTTGCTCGCAGAGTGTTGTTATGGCGGGTCCAAACAAGCGAGCTAGAACGCTGTCATCGGCGGTGACGAGTTTGTCGTTTGCCGTATCTTGGACGGTCGAGACGTTGAGTATGCGGCCGTTCCTTCATGTTTTTTCTCGATATCTTTTCTCTCTCCAATACACTTCATCGAATTGTCTGCGTGGGTGTCGATGAAAGGCAAGTTTGGCGATGGAGTCGATCTCCTCTAAACACTTCCCCACTTTCATCCTCCCCAGGTCGAGCAAAATATGAGAGGTGCTCAACGATCGTTGGCAGCAGGAAACGTTGGGTTTCGTATTCTCGTATTCGATGAGTTCTCGACGTCGGTCGTAGTGGTGCTGGGGTGGGATGAGTTGAGCTTTCGACTTCGCTTCCGGGGAGGGGGGTAATCAGTGTCAGGGGTCGTCGGCTCTAATGAGCTTGAGCAAGTTCTTGCCAAGAGCATGATGTGATATCCTTGTTGGTGGAATATGGGTCACTATGAATGTCCTTATCGGCTATTGGCGCGTGTGGTGTTAAGAGAGTCGAGTCGAAGGTTGAGGACGAGGCGAAGCCTTGGGGAGCCGGTCGGTTTCACGAGGGATTGGATGGAGGCAAAAGGTTCGAGGATAGAGGGGGATAGGTAACAGACGGACTGAAGATCGGGTTTGAAGCCACTGGTGCATACGCGAAGTCGAGAGCAGTCGATGTATCGAAGGAGCGGGGTGTGAGACGGGAACACTAGCGTGAGTAGGCGGTCGAAGAAGATCGAGGCTCCCAAAGACCTTGCCATGGAGACTGACGCGCTGGTACCAAGTGGTAGTATGTATCAAAGCCCTTCTCCCGTAGATCTTGGCGCCGTCGGAGGAGAATTGGGAAGCTTGCCTGAGAAGCTTGGGGGTGTACCTGGTGTCACTTGGAAGTGTGTTCAAGCTGGCAGGCAGCTTCAGCGACAGTACCAAAGTACGGGCACACCGCCATACAAAGAGAGAAGCGGAAAGGGGAGGAAAGAGGAGCAGAAAAAGATCAGGTCGATATGCTGTGAGGGCAAGTCGGTTTATCAACTAGAAGAAATTGGCATGGAGGAGAAGGAGGAGGAGGAGGAGCTTGCTCCGGGATCCTACGTCAGGTTTAGGTAGCTACAGGATGTACCTTAGCTTGACCTGCACTACGTCAGTACGGGCCCCTTGGAGTCGATTCCCTGGGTTCCCCATTCGCAACGACAACTATACAACACCACAGCAGTGGCCTCGAGAAGCGAAGTGGGGGAGGTCGAAGGGGGACCTTGTCTAGTCGTCTTCCGGGGGGATTTCACTTGCTTCCAGGAGGGAGTGGATGTCGCTCGTGGCCTTGCATGAGAGGTGAGTAGACGTTGATGAAGAGAGGGAACAAGAGTGATGAATAAGTCAAGTAGAATAGCATTCTTTAGTCTAAGGTACCTATGCAATGGTCATACAAGGACCTCTCTCCTTCTCGTTGGGCTGAAGTCTGAACTACCACTACGTCACTGGTAGCCCCCAAATGTCCAAATACGGGATGATGGGTACGGGGACCTAGGACGACGGGCAGGTGTACCTGGCAGCGGCCCCAAAATCCAGCCAAACCATCCCTTGGACGGCCCGCCACGCCGAATAGGTACTACACTAATTAGCATTACACAGGAGAAAACGTTCAAAACGCTTCTTTCAACGACCCGCTGTTTTCTCGCTATAATTCATGGATATAGAGGAACCTGAGTCCTGTCAGGTCGCGTGCGGCGAGTTTCGGCGACCGTCGCCGAGTACGGGTGGACAAGAGGGAGTATCCATGGATAATTTAACACAGCAAACACAGGTTAGAATACTCTATCGTATTGTACGACGGTGCTTCAGTTGTTGCTTCCACTCCCTCCTGCAGGCATCAAGGCGGGAAAGCAGGGATCTGGTCCAGCCTTGCAGGGCTCCATTCTTCGAGGAGGAAGGAGGAGAAGGAGGATGACATTTTTGCATGTTGGTCTCTCGAGACTTGCTTAACTTGAAAGTGCTACATATTGACGCATTTTGTTCTTACTTCAATCTCGAAGGCCATGCCTTACATCTGACTACATCTAGACTTACTCTACACCCCTCAAATTTGGCGTCTAAAAGACGGATACAATACCGAAGGTCGTCAAAACATGAGGCAAAATAGTTATCCGTACCTTAATCTACCGTATGATGTATAACACGACGCAGAGCAGGGGTGGTGCCCGCGGGCTTCTGGCAAGGTAGTTTGCCTTGGACAGCGGAAACTCTAAATTGAGGTAAGGCGACTTACTGACGGGGCGGGAGAGTGGGTGAGGCCAAGGACGAAAATGACCCTGCTGGTGATGACGTAGGGCTGGGGCGCATGGACCCCGATAGGTACGTCTCGCTCCGCCGTGGTGCAGCGCGGCGGCGGCGCGGGAAACCTGTAAACGCCCTCTTTGTATTCGATTTTTTTCGGGCCGGGTTGGTTGCAACTCGCTCCACTTTACCCGATGGGAAATAAATGGGGCTGGGAAATACCCGGAGCGTTCCCTGGTGGTCTAACTCGCTGACCCTAATACTTTTGCTCTTCAAAAGTACCTTGCTCTGAAGTAGGTACTTTGAGATGCTGACTGGACTGCGATACTAGACGGAGTACTGGACTCACGAGGTTTGATGTCATGTCGTTTTTTTCCACCCGTGTTGAGTATCTCTGTTCAGTCTCGTTTTTTCTTCGGCTGACTGAGCGTGCATATGCGCGTGTGGGTTTCCTTTCGACTCAATTCGGTGGCGACACAATAAGACCCCGGGTTCTTGCCAGGTTCTTACGACGCAGTATGGCGTGTCAGGTTTCCGAATGTAGGCAAGTCGGACGTCAACAGCCCCATAGTCGCCAGAGAAGAACAAAAAAAAAGCCATGTTCAGCAATTGCCATTTTTGGTTTCAGCATACGCAAACACACACGAATTGTTGAATTTATGCATTCTACGAACTACCTTAGTCCACATCGCCTTTTCTGGAGGGGAAAAGGGTAACATACAAGTCGCAACTTTGGTGTTGATACTTTTATGCAACTTAGCTAAGTATGTGACAGCGTAAGGTGCTCAGGTAGCCCCTCGTTGAGGTAGCATCAATTCGATTCATTGCAACTGAGCATATGCGCAAGTTCCTATCAACTTCCAAAGTCTAGACATCTGGCCCCTTTTGGATCAACAGATCAGAGTCTTTTTCTGTCGCAAGCATTCATTCGCTGTTGGAAACCATAGTTGATATCTGGAATAACACACTCGTGTTCATTCGATGACTCGATTTTACCACACAGATCCGCAAATGCATCTTTCCCTTAGAATAGGTTACAGAGTGAACGGCAATTTGTGCCTTCTATTGCTACAAGCCGGAGAGGCGTCTTCTAACCAGAAGATCTCCTCGTTGATTGGTGTTACATATATCGACAGATTTCTCTTCTTCCTTTTCTTCCCCCTTCCCCATTTTCAAAGCACATTCGATGCTTCATGAGATGATCGAGCCACCGATGGCCGGGCCACGCTTCAAAGCACCACCAATGAAGATCTTGCTGATCAGGTCACTCTGGTGCGACTCAATCATCTCGTTGAGCGCCGCGCGCTCAACAACCACGCGTCCCTCCTCCAACAGATCCTTGACATCCACATCGTGAACACCGAGGCACCTGCCCTGGTCTCCCACGGTTTCCATTGTCTCCTCCAGCCTCGGCCTGTCCCCGTTGGTGATGAACAGCGTCCGGCCGTGAGCCTTGCCCCACTGATTGGCCTCGAGAACCTGCATCATCCACTTGCGGCGGTACTCCTCCGCAATCTTGGGTCCCACGAAGCCTCCGTCGGTTAAGGCGAGAAAGTCTTGGGGCAGGGGCAGCTCCATGCCGTCCTCGCAGACGATGAGCTGGCCGCGGCGGTAGCGGTAGCTGAGGGCGGTGCGCCAGGCGACGTCGTAGACCTTGCGGTTGAGCGAGGTGCTGAAGTCGCGCGGCTTGGGGCCGTGAGAGACACCTCCGCCGCGGCGGATGGGCGACTGCTTCGTGCCGGCGCGGGCGCGGCCGGTTCCCTTTTGCGGGTGTAGCTTTCTGTGCGAGCCGCGAACCTCCCATCTGGTCTTTGTGCTGGCCGTACCCTGGCGGGTGGAATCGCCCTCGTAGACGACAGCGAGATGGAGGAGGTCGCGGCGGAGGGGGAGGTAGAGGTGCTTCGTCGAGTAGGACTCGAGGGATTGGGGTTCGAGCGTCGGGAAGGCGTGAACTGTGACGGGGACGGATGTGGCTAAGAAGGGGTGTTAGGGCTTGCATCTTTTGAAGAATGGAGTATGTTGCCGTAGAACGTACTTGGTGTCCACTCCGCCTGCTTAGATGTGCTGTAGACGGAGGTTGTGATGCCGGGGAATGGCGCCTCGGTGGCCATTGATCTCGTAAAGCTGGATGAGCCGATGAAGGAGGTAGCAGGGCTCGCGTTCCTGCACGTCGATGAGAGGGAAAGCCCCCTCATGGCCTCTCCGAGGCTCCTGACTCCTTTGCCGGCCATTGTGTATACGGTCGTCGCAAGGGGAGTTCGCGATGTTCGATGGGCTGCTCCTTCGATGCGTTAGAATATCGGGAGCTGCAACCCTTTGCGCAGGAAACACGAAAATTTGGCCCGTCCTGTCGAAGGAAGCTACCAATCAGACAGCGTCAATTGCCGGTACGTACCTGCAGCGTGCACGCTGTGTGGCTTGTCAATGGGAGCTCCAGTCCCCTGTCCGGGGCGGGATATTCCGCCGTTCAATTGGAAAAATAATTATGGGGACCCGCAGAGCAGACTCGTGAAGCTCTGTTGAAAAACCTCCTTCAGAAGCTCTGGTCGGGAATCAGACGACCACCTACCGAACCCACCACGCCCCCCCCTCTTTTCACAGCCCAAGATGTCATCGTCGTGTAGGCAGGCCATCCGGCCGCTTCACCGATGCCTGAACAGAGTCGCCACGCCCCTGCCGATACGGAGAAGTCTTTCAACGACGCCCGCCCCTGCCGCCGAAGTGTACAAGGTGTCGCGCGAGCGCCCCGAGACTGTCGACCCCGTCGAGCTGGACCCCAACACGGCCGTCGCGCCGTGGGCCGAGAAGGATCTGTGGAAGGCAGGCACACCGCCCGTTGGTTCGAGACGTCGCCGTTATGCCATCCGCACGAGTTCAAACATACCCTTTGAGCAGCTGCCCTACCAGGCATTCCAGGAGGCGCGCAAGATCCTCGCCGCCGATCGCGAGGAGAAGCTCCGTGCTATTGTGAAGGAGACGGAGGCGATCAAGCTGTTGGAGGGCTTGAGTGGTGATCAGGTTAGGGGAGGAGAGAGGATGCGTCAGATGAGGCTGTCCAGTCTGCGAAAGCAGGTCGAGAGATTGAAGATTCTGGCGGATATCAACGATCCCGCTGTCAAGAGGCGGTTCGAGGATGGGCTTGGTAAGGATACATGACGTCCATTTATATGCTTGAGACGCGCATTGAGTGCTAATGTGCCTTCTGGAATAGGTGACATGAGCAAGCCCATTTACCGCTTCCTTGCCGAGCGCAAGTGGCAATCCTACGAGGCTAAGATGATTGAGCAGCGTATCCAACAGCTCAACATCATCCCCGATATTCTCCCCAAGATCAAGCCGACCTACGACGTTCAGCTCTTCTTCCGCCGCTCCAAGGTTCCCCCTGGCAAGATCCTCCCCAGCAACATCTCCGAGGTGCCCCCGCGTCTGCGCATCACCCCCTTCACGGCAGGCGAGCGTCTCGTCTCCATCGTCATCATGGACTCGGACATACCCTCCGTTGAGACCGACGGCTTCACCAAGCGCTGCCACTACCTCGCCGCCAACATCCCCGTCTCGCCGACAGCAACGTCCATTCCGCTCTCCAAGATCCGCGACGAGGCCCAGCTCGCCGTTCCCTACCTGCCCGCTTTCGCGCAAAAGGGCTCCCCCTACCACCGCCTCTCCATCTTTATTCTCGAGCAGGGTGACCAGAAGCTCGACACCGCCCAGCTCAAGAAGCTCTACCAGGCCCGCGACGGCTTCTCCCTCAAGTCGTACCGCGACAAGTTCAACCTCAAGCCCGTCGGCTTCAACATCTTCCGCACCATCTGGGACGAGAACACGGCTGGCGTGAT